TGTATGAATTCCAGGGAAAATCCAGTCCTAAAAAGGACCTCAGAGAGGTAATGTCACTTCTCTGCTACATGACATTACCTCAGAGAGCTAATGTCACTGCAGATGCTACATCACTGTAGCACGTTGCTATGATAGTGTTGTGTCACATGAAGATACACCCACTCTGTCCTCTCCAGCCACTCCTCTTCTGTCTCTCCAGTAATCACAATTTAATCTACTTGAGATATCAATTGCTTTTGATCTCTTGGCTTCATATTGTCCAGTATCTTAATAATATGGGTATGGCAAATGGCTGGAGCAGTATGGACGTTTTGTGGTACTTGTGTAAAGGTGTAGTGCCTTCCCCTAAAAGGAAAAGCAAACTTGTAGCATTAGTCCAGATGTAAAGGTATAATAAATAATGCATTTGATAAAACAAGGACAAGGAAAATCACTTGGCTCCTGCTGCAAAGGACACCATCACTTCTGGATACATGGCCACCACAGATGTCATGTTTGGGGTCATTCTATTCAAGACATATAATCTACTGTGAGATGCCAACTTTTTCCATCTGCCTTCCTCATGAGCCAAACGGAACTATTGTTTATACTTAGCATCTCAATTAGCACTCCTTCCTTTACGGCTTGAGTAGCCTTTGCTATACTGGCTTCCACTTCTGGATGTATTGCTTTTGGGGTGATGGGTCATCTCCTACAATCATTACCTCTCCTTCAATCTTCCCACATTCCAATTTGTGTTTGGCCCAAAACTTCAGTGTTCATTGTGCTGTTTCCCTTACAGGTGCTGGCCAATTTGGGAAACTAAGTTGTTCTTTTGCATTTAGTGCCATACACCTATGCCCTGTGACAATGGCAGTGGTGGTATTAGTATCCTTTTTTACTTCATCATTTCTATCACTCCCATTGTGGTGTGGGTTGCTCTCCTTCCCTCATGATATCACTTAAAATAAACAATTAAATATTTACTGGTACAGGCGAAAAAGCAAGATGTTGTACCTCGCACATGAGTGTGCTAACATGGGTATAAAGTATGGGTATTCTGTAATGGGCCGCCTCATTCCCTCCTTTTGGAGGGATATGAAAACAAAATGATGAAGGATGACTCTTGCCTTGCAAATAAAGCACTTACCTGTTATGTTGTGACACTTGGGTTTCTAGAGCTTGCAACAATGAATGTAATATTAGTTACATGAAGAGGAGCAGTATCAAAAAGAAAGACTGGAAGTAGATCACCTCAGTATTTAGTACTATACTGTGGTGGTTAAAACCCTCCTTTGAGAAGTGAGCGGTAGTATAACAACACAGCAGGAAGCACAGGACAGCTGTCAAACACAGGAGCAGTGGCAAGTTTTGCTTGCTGCTGTCACCATCATCTCAATCACATGGCTGTTGATATCCAGATTTTTCATCCCCCACACCCAGTGGCACCTGGGCCGGTTACCTTTGTCACTCCACCCTAGTCATGCTACTAGAGGTGAACAATATGAGGTCTGTTCCCCACAAGCAAAGAACCTTTGTCTCCTACCTTTTTGGTGGACATTCTGAACTAGTGGGTGAAAAGGGAGCTCCTCCTATTCTGGCAATTTGTATTTTAATCTAATCCTTTGTATTTTAACCTAAACACTTTGTTCTTCCTAGGAGTGTCTGAAACAAAACCTTACACTTTGTGTCAAACTGAGCATTTTGTTTAGAATGAACAAAATACAGAGACAGATGCACAGAGACACCTCATCCATATTTATTGAATAGAAAATAAGGTCCCTTCCCCCCTGCCCCTCCCCCCCCCATCAACCTGGGGGAAATAGCCTTTGTCTTACATCTGCATACAAGGAAAACACATTAAATACGCTGACTATCTTTGAACTGCTGCTAAAAGCAACATATGTTAAGTAATGGGAACCAACTATGAAGTTGACTACATGCATCCAACACTGAGCATTACTACAAAAGACAGGGCCCATATGGGGCAAATATGCTGCTGGGAACATTTTTCATACAAAACACCTAAAATACACTACATTAACAGAACACTTGACAATCTCCCTTTGACAATAATACCTTGTCTTTCTTGCAGTCCCTTTTTTACATTAATACACTAACCTCTCACAAACCCCAACCCAGGAGCAAGCAACAACTTTAAGTCCATCCCTTGGTCCTTTTGGAAGAAAAACTGCCATTCTTCTTTCCTCCATCTCCTTTCTGTTTTCTCCTTTCCCCTCTCATTTGCATCTTCATCTGCATAGTATTTAAATTGATCTATTACCAACTCAAACATTCTGTTCTGGTGAAAACCAGTCCCTTGATCAATAGTAGGTTTCTCACCTTCCATATCACTACTGTAGCACAAAGGTGTATGGTTCTTAGCCTCTGTGTCTACAGTCCTTTGGGCGCTAACCCATACAACACTATCTCATATGTTAAATTATAGTTCATATTGAAAATTGACACACCTTGTCCCATACCCCTTGCACAAAAGATCAGTCCCAAATTCTTCAGCCCCACATCTCTCTTTCTCAGGCATGCTGCCAATCTTACCAAACCCCATTTATGCTGAATGGCCTGCACAGGAAGAATATTCTGTACCATTCTCTTTCCAAACTATTATATGTCACTTCTTTCCATGCATTTGTCATCTGTCTTTTCATCAGTACTCCAACTATGCTTATTTTATCTTTCTTTTTTATCATATTAATAACCTCCTTATGGGCTTTCAGGCACTCTAATCCTGCTCCCTCCAGTTTATGTATCCTTACAAATCTCTCTATCTTTGCCTAGTAGGTTGGTGGTTGCCATGCCCATGACTTTTTCCAATCTCCCCTGTACATGCCCCATCTTCTTAACATTCTTCCTGCCAAGTAATGGCAGAAAAATGTAGTCTTCCCCACCCGCTCTGTAGCCTCTTTACAGAACAATCCTATAAAGTAAGTATGCAATGCTTTATTTCTGTCTCCAGCCATTGCCAACATTTTTCATAGAATTCCACTGGAAATCTGTCTCTTCCAGGTGCCTTTCCTTTGTTCCAAGCTTTTAAGCAGTCCTCCACCACTCTTATACTTAACTTCACCTCCATTTTTTTCTTTCCATCCTCTTTTCTGCCCTTTATCACCTCAAGATACACCTTCATTTTTCTTCCATGCATTCCCCTTCTTTTGTACAGCTCTTTACAGAACTGCACCACTGTGTCCAATGTCTTCACACTCTTATTTAGATTCCTTCTTCAGTTCTCACTGCTTTCAGTTCCTTTCTTCTTTTCCTCAGTTTCACTGAAAAAATACTTACACCATCCTTCCCCCTTCTTCACCTAAGGTGCTCTAGTCAAAAAGATTTTCTCATCCTTTTTCCTTTTGAAGCATTCTTCATTGCATCACTATGTCTTCCAGTTCTCCTTTTACTTGTACTCCTCTTACTGCCTCCTTTCATAATTCCTGCTCCCTTGCCTGAAGTTCTTCTACCCAGTTAACATATTTCCATTCCCCATGTAGTTCCTGTTCCTCTTTCCTCTCCCTGTTACATATAACCCCTCATTTCATAATACCCCAACTGTAAACATTGCCTCACTGAAAAACACAAGCCCTTGGTAACTAATAAACACCTCACTTTCCACAATGCAACCATAACTCTCATCAATATTACCTGAACCTCCCACTCCCTAGTTCCCCCTTCCACCAATTCATACATCACATTCTCAAAAGAAGCCCCTTCCCTCCATCCTATTTCATTCAAAACCCTCCTCACATGTATAAAAAACATTTCCAAAATATGTGATCAACTGTCTCTTCCCTACAAAATTACTGTAGACATTCTGCGCTTCATACCAAACCACACCAGTGCTGTTTCCCTTACCGCTATTACCTTTTCTATAAACTTCTATGCAAGCTTCCTGTGTTCTTCCCTCCACCTTTTATCCACCACCGTTTTCGAAACTGCCCTAAACTGTGCCCAAGATGCATCCCCCACATCTGTTAAACTATCCCTCATTCTAATTAACTGAAACATATTCTTTGCTTTTTGTAATCCTTCCAACCCCAACATCCCTAAACCATGTGGCTGAATAAAACCCCCCATCTGTGCATAATGCATGGTTTTCATACCCATTAGCCCATCCACATTGTCCCAAGCAAGACCAGCTTCCTAAATAGTTTCCTTCCCCAATACCTACAAAACCTCCTTGCTATCCCTTTTTCCCTTCTAGCCTCATGCACCACTGAAGACATAAAATGCCCATAAACTAAAACGTCTACCTCTGGTAACCCTCCCCCCCCCCCCCCTTTATGTCTTCCCTCCCCCTTGGCACCCCCCCCCCCCCCCCCCACTTTATATGTTTCCCAGCCTTGCTACCCTCTCTGTCTTCCCACCCCCAGAAAAACAAAAAAAACCCAAAAAAACAAACACACACAAATCTCCTGTTCTATCCAGCCCACAGGGCCTATTAAAAAAAAATTAGAACATTTATATTTATCTGCCCCTGGTTGCCTGTCAAAGATGACAGGAGCCAGGGGCAGTAGGACCCAGGGGAAGCCACAGGAGGACCCCTGCAACAGCAAGACCTGCCCCCACTATCATCTGGAAGCCCCTTCCTGGCTTCAAATCCCTCAAAACCCAATGTGTTTGTGTAATCCTAAGCCCCTCCACTGCACATGTTTGGTCTTCCCCAATCACCTGCAATAGTACCCCTTTCATTCTTCCCTCTAACACCTTAGAGAATAATTTATAATCTACATTTACCAAAGTAAGTGGTTGCCAATTCTTAAAACTCTCCCTCTCCCCTTTCTTATACAAAAGTACTACTACCCCATTAGTAAAGCCCTCCCCATCTTCCCTAGTTGGTCAGGCATTGCTTGCTCTTGGTAAATCCATGCTGACTGTCCCTAATCAGTTGGTTCTCCTTCACAGTAGATTCCTTGAGGACTTATCCTTAACCTTTACGTACAAGCAATACTGACACTACATATGTCTCTGTTATCTCCATAGTTGAAAGGGTATCAGTCAAATATTTATTGTCAAAGAAAATGTGAAAACATCTTTCTGCCCATCACTCTTTTCAAGGCATCTTTCACCTCCTTGTTCCTCAGGCTGTAGATTACAGGGTTCAGCATGGGAGTCACCACCGTGTAAAACACTGAGGCTACTTTGTCTTGATTCTGTGAATACTCTGAATGTGGTTGCAAGTGGGTAAACACAGCAGTCCCATAGAAGATGGTCACAACTGTCAAGTGGGAGACACAGGTGGAAAAGGCTTTATGCCTACCTGCAGTGGAGTGGATTTTCAGGATAGTGAAGAGAATATAAGTGTAGGAACTCAAGATTATCAGGATGGATCCTGATATATTAAACCCAGCACTCATGAGCATTAACATTTTACTTGTGTGGGTCTCAGAGCACGAGAGCTTGAGTAATGAGGGCAACTCACAGAAGAAATGATCAATGACATTTGATTGGCAGAAATTTAGCCTGTGTGTTAAGGTGGTGTGTATCACTGAATTAAAGAAGCCTGCAGCATACATCACAGCTGTCATCCTGAGACAGCGCTTCTGGGACATCACAACTGTGTAAAGCAGTGGATTACAGATGGCCACATAGCGGTCATATGCCATCATTGCCAAGAGGAAACATTCAGAGGTAATTAAAGCAATAAAGAGATACAATTGCACAATACACCCAATGTAGGGAATGGCTTTCCTACCCAAAAGGACATTTGACAGTGCTTTGGGGATGGTATTGGAGGAATGGCAGAAATCTATAAAAGACAGATGGCTGAGGAAGAAGTACATGGGGGTGTGAAGTTGGGAGTCAATTCTGATTAATATGATCATCCCAAGATTCCCCACAAGGGTTATAACATAGATCACTAGGAACAACATAAAGATAGCAACTTGCAGCCCAGGATGATTAGAGAATCCCACCAGGATGAATTCAGATACCATGGTGAGGTTTTCTCCAGCCATTTTTTTCTGGAAGTTATGATTAAATGTAGATGTGAACAGGAACATTGAAATTAATCCTAAAGGATATTTTTGTTGACCCAAAAGAGATTTTCATGGACATTCAGATGTAGTGGAATAAGGTTGTTATAGCCCTGTTATATCATCTACATAATGCAGGATACTCAGTAAGAAAAGGGAAATGATGTGATTGTATAGAGAAGTGTGAAGGTCATTTGAGAAGCAGGTTTTGTGTCTTCATGTCCAGCCTACAAAAAATAAATATATCAATATTATAGCAACATCACAAATAAAGGGTGATAGTACTGCCTGGGTATTATGCTATGTTTGTGATCCAGAACTATAAAAAAAATTAACAGATTTCTTTGGGAGGTGGGAGAGAATCCAAAATTAAAAAAAAAAAAAAAAAATTGAAATCATCCAGAGAGTAAAACAAACAAACAAACAAAAAACAGTAAACATCTTGAAATCTGTTTAATTCTGTTCTCAAACTCTACTAGATGTTTCTAATAGCAGATTCTGTGCTGGTTTTCAGAGTTTTGATATTTATTGTTGTTGTTACTGGTTTTAAAGGAAATATTCCCTGGGCCAATTTCTATTCCATCACCTATGCAACTAAGGGAACTATATACAGCTATGTGAAATTCTGTTCCACACTGTTTGGCTGCCACCTATACACATTCTGGTTCACGTTCTAATTAAAATGTTCTAGCATGACTTCACTGTCATGTGTATAAGCCCCCCCATGGACTTAAAAATGGCTGGTTTATTTATCTGAATCTTATTGAAAGCATCACAGAGTCATTTTTAAACTCAAGGTGGCTTAACTCATGTGACAGTGAGGCACTGTAATTAGAGTGGCTCTCTAGGAACTGTTCTAATTAAAACAGGGTCGACCAGAACTGTGCTAAAGTGCCTAAGTTATTTAGATGCCTAATACTGACCCTCACATATATTCTGAAAATGAAGAAAGGTTTGAAGAGCCAGTCCCAGCAAAATTAAATATTTACAAACTTAAATGTACATACACTTTAATAGCAACTTTAATAGTGAAATATAAATTAACATATAAATGACCAAACTGCACAGGTAAGGCATATCAAGTAAATTATTACACTCCATAAAATTTTAATTCAACTAAAGAAATAATTATCATCTTAACTTCTGAAAAAATTGAAAATTATTTTTTCTAAGTCCTAAAGTTTTAAAAACCCTCCAGCATGTGGCCAGCCTGATAGGGAAAAGAACTTCTCACTTACATTTCAAATTAACTTTTTATCTTAGTTCTCCTGCAGATGGGCTATTTAGCAACAATCTTAGTTTAAGTCTGAAGAATGGGACTCTTCAGCCTGGAGAAGCGAAGGCTCAGTGGTGACTTGGTGCCAACCTATAAGTATATAAGGGGTGTGCATCAGGAACTGGGAGAATGTCTGTTCACCAGAGCACCCTAAGCGAAGACAAGGTCTAAAGGTCACAAACTTCTGGAAGACTGTTTTAGACTGGACATAAGAAAAAACTTCTTTACCAACTGAGTCCCCAGAGTCTGGAATAGACTCCCCCCCAGAAGTGGTGCAAGCACCTACTCTGGATACATTTAAGAAGCAGTTGGATGCTTATCTAGCTCGGGAGATCTTGCCCTAGCTGACTTCCTGCAACTTGGGCAGGAAGCTGGACCCAATGTTTTTGCACGGTCCCTTTCAGCCCTAAAGTCTATGAAATCTGTTCATAAAATGTCCAAGGTGGACCTGGTGTTTATATGCTTTGCTTGGTTAAAACATAAAAAAGATTACTAAATAAGTTTACATATAGATAATTTATAATAGATGTTACTCTAATTGATATGAATATACTTATTTTTATTCCATATCTATTCTATATATTGTCTAGTATTAACCTTAGCTAAGCATTAAATCATTACATGTAACCTAAGTGACCTTTAGCCTAGTTTCCCCCCCACCATTCCATCTTTCCTGATTTTTTTTTAAATGGTTCACACCTTGTGATGTCCTCTGGCCTGATCGTTTCCTTTGTCTTCTTCTCTTACAGATATGATGTGCTAAGGGAGATTATAGCTTCTATATCACCTGCTGTTTTTAGTTAAAAATGGATAAGTTTATATATTATAGCTCAAACACAGGAGTTCAGACCAAAGTATTCCAATTGTCCCTTCTGGTCTTTGAATCTATGTATCCACCAGCTGAATAATCAAACTGGTCGTGTGAAAAGCATCCTAGAATAAAAGAAGAAACAAAAGGCAAGATCCAAGCCCATCCTCGTCCCATTTAAAAATATATATATGTTGAACAAAGTTGTTAAACACAGTGGCTGAACAAAAAGGGCAGGAGATCCTGAAATGAGTCAAATTTTAAAATTGTTGGGGTTTTGTTTTGTTTTGCTTGGGGGGGGGGGGGGGGCGGTTAATGAACACCACCAGGTTTTATTTCCATATAAAGTTTTCTTGGAAAATGTTGGCTTTCTCTGATTTTTTTTTTTCAATATCCTCCTTCCAAAAGTAAACTAAAAGATGAGCTTTAATTTCATCCTTTTTCTTCCTGGAGTGTATCTTCCAATACTCCTAGAAGATGGAGGAATTATTTACTGAGGGTGATCGCCATATTTCCTGATCTCAAAATAGGACACAGTGCTTGCTACTCCAGTACCTCATTCCCTGGCATGGACAGTTTTCTTCAAGTTTCATTTTCATCTGAGTGGTTATGGAAGGATGTAGGGTGGTTACAGACTGCCAGAGAGTAGAAACTGGGGGGCAGTCCCATTTTCATTCAGATAATCCTATTTTAAACACCTGTCCCAGGCATCCTACTGAAAGCAGCAAAGGCATCCATTTGAACAAACTGATGTGATGGCCAGGACCAAATGTTTAAAATGGGACTGACCTGGTGAACATTGAATGTATAGTTATCTATGTTTGCTCCAGTTTTGTTATTTCTTGTTTCCTCTTGTGTCTTGAATCAGCTCCAAAAAGGGGGACAAATAAGAGCAAGATCAAAAAAATATTTTTGAGAGCCAATAATTGCTATTTTCTCTTTTCAGCAAACATTTAGAATCCCTCTTCTTCTTCCTCTGTCTTGCCTTGTGTATGTTTGTGTGTGTGTAAGCATGCATATGTGTATGTTTGTGTGTACAAAAAAGAGAAGGTAGCAAATAAGTAGCAAAACAATGAACTATAAATATTGGAAAAGGGAATGAATGAAATCCAGGCAAAAAGGTCAGTGACAAAACTCCACTTCAGGTAGGTAACTAAGAGGGTATCAAGTTGAATAATCACTGAATGTAGGATGAAATTTAAATGTATAGCACTATAAATCTCATAAATGACTTTTTTGGACCGTTGCTGTAGTGCCCCTACATAATCCTGCTGGCTAACTCTGGAGTTTTCATCTCTTCCTCACCATTTATTTATTTTTATGTGAACTGCAAATAAAAGTGTTTCTTTCAGCCTTACAGTTACAGCAATTTAGGTGAATTATACTGCTTTAGGAACATGAAGATGTAACAGTTAAATCAGAATAGCTGATATACCCTCCCAAGCATCAGCAGCTCCCTCTACCCTTTTAAAGAGTTAAAAGCTATGCTTGTCTAAACTGAGAGCTGCAGAGACCATTTCATTTTTTAGATGCTAATGCATTTTCTTACCAGTTTGATCCCAGAAAAAAGCAATTTGTAGAAGTAATACATTGAGTATCCTCATGAGTTCCCTACTTTCTGTCTCATAGCAATAAAAACAAGATGTAATAAGTATGACTGCTCAGACATGCTGGGTGCTAGGTTTTATCTCATACTCAGCTTTACCTAATCTGTTTCTGAAAGAAAAAAAGAACTGTTTCTAGTTTGCTAATACCAGGATATTCCCATTCAGTGCTCAGATGGGAACGTTTACTGCATCAGTGGTTGACTGACCACTGGGATCTGATCCCTGAAGAATATTGACATTCAAAGCTAAAATGTTCCAGAGAGGTAGCTATTAACATTGAACATGTTTACCTGATGGTAACATAGGTAAATCATAGAAGAATTTAACACAGTTTGACTTCCATTGTTCTCTGCAAAATCTTTTACTTGGGAAAGACTCAGGAAGCACTAGTGTCTTTCTTGTAGGAAAATTGTTTGAATGTTTCACTGAAGTTAATCAGATCTCAAATAGAAGCAGACAGCCACATCAACTGATATTGGCTTCATCTTTCTTTGGTCTGTTGAACAACTAACTATCCTTTCCAATAGCCCCTGGATTCTGGTTGCTTGCTGGCTTACATGAAATGTCTCCTTTCACCTGCAAGTAGTTGGTATTCTCATTTTGAAAATCACCAGTACAGTTGGTAGTTTTTGGTCCCTGATTGGCACAAGAAGAAATGAAGGCCTGGTAGGGCCCAAGAACTGAACCCCTTTTTTGGGGGGGGTGGAGGGGTGGGGATGAGGCCTGTTGGTTGGAAGAGCAAGGTAAAAATTTGAGATCTGCTCATGTGTGCTGTGTTGTTCAAGTTGGAATGGGATATTGTTTAATGTCTTTGGGATCTACAAAGTACAAAACCTTAAATATCAAATAGGATTTGGATAACTTTGTTTTAACTTTTTATGCTCTTAAATTTACTCTGTCAAATTAAATGAATCCTCACAACGTCTTGGGACATTGTGGTAAACTCTCACACTTATGATCCACCTGCAGTTACTAACTTTTATGTTCCTTAAACCTGGAATGGAAGCTCCAACCAAATATATAGTGTGTTAGTCACCTGAGCATTAACATTCAAGCCAGCCAATAGACAGAAATACTCAATAAGAAATGATGAGAACAGGGGTGTATCTGAACTCTGGAACTTTTCCAGACTTGGTGCCTCTCTCTGTTTGGGATAAAGGGTCCAGTTAAAGGTAGCTACTAATTTGATCTTTGAAATAACTGCTCAAGGTTCACTATATCCTTTTAAAGCATGGCTGGAGGTGGTGGGGATGCCTACATTTTACATAACTACTCAGGAGTGAGACCACTAATC